TTGTGTTACACAGGGTGTCAGACAAGACAGGTTAATCTGGCCTATAAATTGTGTTACACAGGGTGTCAGAGAAGACAGTTTAATCTGGCTTATAAATTGTGCTACACAGGGTGTCAGAGAAGACAGGTTAATCTGGCCTATAAATTGTGCGACAGAGGGTGTCAGAGAAGACAGGTTAATCTGGCCTATAAATTGTGTTACACAGGGTGTCAGAGAAGACAGGTCAATCTGGCCAATACATTGTGTTACATAGGGTGTCAGAGTAGACAGGTCAATCTGGCCTATAAGTTGTGTTACACAGGGTGTCAGACAAGACAGGTTAATCTGGCCTATACATTGTGTTACACAGGGTGTCAGACAAGACAGGTTAATCTGGCCTATACATTGTGTTACACAGGGTGTCAGAGAAGACAGGTCAATCTGGCCAATACATTGTGTTACACAGGGTGTCAGAGTAGACAGGTCAATCTGGCCTATAAGTTGTGTTACACAGGGTGTCAGAGAAGACAGGTTAATCTGGCCTATAAATTGTGTTACACAGGGTGTCAGAGAACACAGTTTAATCTGGTTTATAAATTGTGCTACACAGGGTGTCAGAGAAGACAGGTAAATCTGGCCTATAAATTGTGCTACACAGGGTGTCAGAGAAGACAGGTTAATCTGGCCTAGAAATTGTGTTACACAGGGTGTCAGAGAAGACAGTTTAATCTGGTTTATAAATTGTGCTACACAGGGTGTCAGAGAAGACAGGTTAATCTGGCCTATACATTGTGTTATACAGGGTGTCAGAGAAGACAGGTCAATCTGGCCTATAAATTGTGTTACACAGGGTGTCAGACAAGACAAGTTCACTGTTCACATACAAATAAACGTTGACATATTATGGCCAACTTTCTACTGCACCCTCTCCTAAACAGCCCCTGCGTACCTATATTACCCCACCATATTTGAAATATGTTGACAGCCTTGACAGTTGGTCTGTGGGTCTACTACTGATTTCACAAAGTACCTTCATTCTTCTTGTCATATACAAACAAACAAACATTATGATTATTATAATAGTAACACAGTGAAGATCAAAATGATACATATATATCTTCCTCAAAGTATTAACGCTTCAAAGTAAATATAGTATACCAGTTCAATCCAACCCCTAGCTGAGTATTGTGAATCCTGTGTGATCTAACAAAATATATTTTTATTTCTACTAGACTTGTAAGACCTGTATTCTTACATTATATTTGATCAGACCAATGTGTTGTGTCCAACAGGGTGTCAGCATAGACAGGATAATCTGACCAATGTGTTGGGTATCAGATGGTGGTGTCAGATTAGACAGGTTATTTTGACCAATGTATTGTGTCAAACAAGGCATCATATTAGACAGGTTATTCTGAAAGATATGTTTTATCACACATGGTGTCAGATAAGACAGGTTAATCTGACCAATGTGTTGGGTTTCACATGGTGTCATATCAAACAGATTAATATGGCCTATAAATTGTGTTACACAGGGTATCAGATAAGACAGGTCAATCTGGCCTATAAATTGTGATACACAGGGTGTCAGACAAGACAAGTTCACTGTTCACATATACAAATAACCTTTGACATATTATGGCCAACTTTTTACCACATCATCTCCCAAACACTTTAAACATCACTACTTCACAGCCAGTTTTGTGTTTATAGACTTGTAGATGTTAAATTTTGCAGAAACAATGAAATGAAAGAAACTGGAATAGATTTTCAATGTTCCTTACATTTGTGGTTTAAGTAGGCCTCGGCCAAATCAGCGTAACATTGGGCTAGTCTCCAGTCTTCGGCACCATAGACCATCCTCGCATACGCTATACACTTTACATATTCCTGTATGCTTTTGTCTACCTGTATAATTATAAGGCAAAGATTCAGACAGAGTAGGAAACTTTGTCACCAACAATGGAAAATCATACAACTCAGATTATGATATATCATTATGGTTGTAGAGATTTTTTTTTCTTTTTCTTCTTTTCTATTTTTTTAAAATATCTAGAAACAATATTCAAAACATTAAATGCTATGGCTATTCACATGCATTTTTAATAATAGTAATTTATTGTTATGCTCAAAAAACAGCTCATGAATGGAACAGCTTTTATAAGAACACACAAACTGTTTGCACAATGATAATTTTTTTTTTAATTTTTAATTTTTCAAATTTTTACATTAGTTTACAATACAGTTACAATATATACATAACATGACATGAAACAAACATATATATAAAGACACAAACAGTCATTATCATACAAACACCAATACAATTATCAGAAAGGAAAGGTAGGATTGTTTCCACACTTATTTATAATTTTAAGTTGAACAAAATTCCTTTAATCAAATCAGGACAGTATCCCTATACAGATGTCATGATTCAATACATCCTCCGAAATATAACGAAACAAACATTGTCATTCAATATATGTATTGCCAGCAAAGTATTACGATACAGAGGTTGAGGTACAGTTGTTACATCTGGGTACATGCCTATTGTTACAGATGAGGATATTATACAGGTACAGCTATTGTCTTCCAAATGATCAAGAAACAGAAGTGGAAATGATCTTTCACAGAGATAATATCCTTTATACTGGGGATAGTTTTGTATTGTAGTAAAGCTTTTGCTTTTTTCATCCTCTGTAAGTGCAGAGGGCGAATTTATCACGGTCAGGAATATCAGTACTCAATATATACTACACACAATACTTACAAGTTACAGGGGTCGACACTAACACTAGTCCGCTAGTCCTATAGACTTGTAGATTTCAGCAAGGACTAGTGACTTACCTAACCTAACTGGTCCTTTGTACTTGTAAACAATATTATCATAAAATAAGAATAATATTCCTTTTTTTGAATTTAGAAAAGTGCTTAAATTAAGATATATTGTATGATATATAACTGTATTATTTTTACTTTGTATTTGTATGGCTGTAGTTATTTTTAAGTCCCCTTCAGTCGATTACTTTTGATGTTTCGTGCTGTAGATTGCCATGTTTCCTTATCAGGAAATCTTGGACTAGTTACATTGACGAAGGACTAGTAAATAATCTATTCAACTAGTCCTGTGGACTACCAAGCAAAAACAGTAAGTGTCTAACCCTGAAGTGTAGTGTAACATTAACAGTCGACGAATATGGAGTGTACCAGTGAAGGGTGAAAGATGGACAGGAAAAAAGATTATGGTATACAATTTATAAATATGTAGTCCTCCAAAGAATCACACTATCAAGTTTACTTAAGTATCTTGATCTGTACCTTGATAACTATCTAAATAGATCCTCACCTTTCCCTGTTCAATACATTTTCTAGCTTTCTTTGTGGAACTCTTGAGCAGGCGGTCTGGAGGTGTCATGTTGACCTTCTTAGGTCCATTTTTGGGTCTGCTCCTTATATGTGAGGTGCGAGGTTCATCCTCTACCATATCCTCGTCCTCGTCATCCACACTGACAGAAAAGGACAAATTTATTCATATGGCATTCATATAGACTATAAATGCCATGTCCCACATGTTTATGACATCATAACTCTGATGTCAAAATTGTAACATTGGTTACAACTAACCCTCATGGAAGATGGCTGTTCTATTCATTGAAGGAACATATTCCGTCTTTGCGTATTGCAGAGTTATCTTCACTTGGGAGCAGGTATTGGTTGTTAAGTCACTGTTTGTGAGAGTAACGTCATCAATTTTTGAGAAAACGACGTAATTTTCTCACACAAACCAATGACATAACAATCAATACCTGCTCCAAAGAGAAGATAACTCTGCAATACGCAAAGACAGAATACCCAGAAGTATGATACAGAGTTGTAATATACATATCATACATTTCTATGATATATATATGAAAATATTCCAGTTAGTACATTTAATATCTAGTCAAAATTGACTGGTCATCAGGACCACTAGTCCAGCAGGAGATTTCACTAGTCTCAGACTATCGGGCTACCCACTACTACCCGTATTGCAGACAGGTTACATGTACACGGTATCAAGGGTTATACAAGTGTGTACAAAAATATAGCTAATAATAAGAAATTATCCATGTTAAATAGATTTTTCTAGGCCTGTTAACTTAATTCAAAATAACAGCACAATGTGCCAAGAAACGAAACATACTCTTCATCATAATCATCTGAATAATCGTCTGCCTCTTCATCATCATGGCGACTTCGCTGGGTTTTGGGGGTTCTAGGAGTCCGTGCTGACCTCCGACCTTGTGTCCGTGACCTTTTGGTCCTCTTGACCTCAATCACCATTGGCCGGCCTTCCTCTGCTGAATAATCCTCCTCTTCAGACATTTATAAGTTTGTTTTGTTGAATTTCTTGTCTTCAATTTATTTGTGATGTGTCTTCAGCTTTCTCCTTTCAACTTCTCTTCATCTGAAAAACAAGATAACGGTATCTTTCAGTTTTACAACTTGTCACTTGTATAAAGCTTATATTACATACTGACAAAATTCAAGTTATCTATATTTACCAAAAGAAAAATGTACTCGTACACTGCATAAAATACTCATACACCTTCAAAATTCAGAACGTACAGATGTAATATATTATAAATATATTTGCATTTCATACTTTACAATGACAAATGACAGGAAATAAATCCTGGCAAAGGCACCCTGGCCTTACTTTGTTCTTAAATAAGATATTATTGGGGACCTTATTTAATTTTATGCAACATTAATAGACTTCTATCATGTCTGATCTGAGATGCAAATTCCATTTCAAGAATTAGGATGCTTCTGTATTTTTTTTATTAAAGACAGAAAATGCTGAAAAATCGTAAATAGCAAAGCACAAATAAATCAGCAATGCAAACAATGTACAAAGATTAAAAGTTAGTTAAAGTACTGCAAACCCTATAAAATATCAAAACAACTTTACGGAAGTACCGGAACATCATTGACAAGAACCAAAACATTGCAATACTAAAACATCAGTATCCATGCAGTGATTTTCTTTGCTCAGTTTATCTGCCGAATACAGGCTTTTTCCCCTAGCTAAAAAGTGCCTCCCAAAATGACAAAAAAACTGGGAAATGTATTTCCGATTTCAATACAAATAAAGTTTTATTTTCCCAATTCATAAAGGAACAGGCTGTTGTAAAATTTAGGTTACAAAAACAGTGCCATGTACCCCTCAGATGCCTTCGGTACACCAAGGTGGAAAGACTGAGTGCTTTCAATCTTTCTTGGTAAGTCAAATATTTTAGACCAGAGTGCTGTTGTCCTAAGTTATTATTAGTGCTGCCCAGGGTTAGACACTATATCTTTTTTAATATTTTGCTTGGTAGTCCACAGGACTATAGTTGAAAAGATTATTTACTAGTCCTTAGTCAGTTTATCTAGTCCAAGATTTCCTGATAAGAAAACGTCGCGATATAAAACATGAAACATCAAAAGGAATGGACTATAGGGGACCTAAAATATTTACTGCCATGAAAATATGGTGAAATTTTTGGAAATTTTTGACAATTATCATGCAATATATCTTATTTTAAGCAGTTTTCTAAATTTTAACAAAGAATATTCTTATTTTATAATCATATTTTTCACAAGTCCAAAGGACCCCATGCATGAAATATTTAAGATAAATGTTCCATACTGTTGTATGAATGTTTCTGCACAAATGCATGGTGAATATGAAATGTTTAATATGAATGTTACATATAGTTGTATGGTGTGAATGAAATGTTTAATATAAGTGTTTCTATACGGATGTATGATGTGTATGATATTTTTTATATAACTGTTCTTTACAGGTGTATCGATCACTATGAAATATTTGATATGCATGTTCTATGCAGATCTATGGTGTGTATGAGTATATATGAAATGTTTGAAATAAATATGTCATAAATTAGCATGCTCTGTTATGATCATGATAGTACACACGATCAGTAAGTCAGATTAATATTCTCTACAGATCCAATACCTAGAAAACTGGGTATATGAAATGAGTATGGTTAACATGAAATGTGTATGGTTAACATGAAATGAGTAAGGTTAACATGAAATGTGTATGGAATGTTTAGGATGAGAGTACTGTGAAGTATGTTATATTCTCCAAAATATTGTCATGTGTATGTGCTTTGAAAAACTGAATAAAAATATAAATTAAAAAAAAAAAGTCCAAAGGACCCAGAGTTAGGTTAGGTGATTCACTTAAGTCCTTGCTGAAATCTACTAGTCCTGGACTAGTGTTATTATCGCCACTGGTGCCAAGACTACACCTGATGTTTCTAAATGAGGTCTTATTAAAGATTTGGGCATGGTGGTATACATTTGTTTTTAAATGATACAACTAAATGTTCTAAACGTCATACGCAGATTACATTTGCCTTTTGATTAAGCTTTAATTGGTTGGTGTGTTCACTAACTTAACATTGTAAGTGAGACTCCAAGGCCCTTCTTGTTTGTGACCGGTTGTAATTCGTTAGTTATTCCCCTATGGTACCATTTATGGAGTATAATGCATCAAGTCCTGTCTGAATTAAACTCCATCAATGACCAGGTACTGTACTCGTAAATATATTGGTCAAATATGACTATATACGTATGTAATAGGACGACGAATGGTGATGAAGATAGTGACGTCACTGGGGCTCGAACCAGCAACCTGTGGCTCTCCAGCCCGATGCTCTATGGCTGAGCTAAAGGGAAATTCCCTACAGCTGACCTTTATAAGGCAACCTAATTAATCCACATCTTTTACACTATTCCCCACTTTTTTCAAACACCAACCCTGGTTATTTCACTCGCCGCCAAGGGTTCTCCTACCTTGAATGGGGAGGGTCAACGGCACCAAATTGCAGTAGGACGAGGAATAGTGATAAAGATAGTGCCGTCGCTTGGGCTCGAACCCAAGACCCTTGGCTCTCCAGCTCAATGCTGTACCGTTGAGCTAAAGGGAAATTCCCAACAGCTGACGCTTGTAAGGCAACCTTAATTAATCCACATCTTTTACAACACTATATACTACAGAAAGTATGAAAACACACTGTAACTGGTCATATGTATCTCCTGCACATCGATAACACTGTGGACAAACAAGTTCTGAATTGAGAGTATTCAAAAATATATTGCAAATAGTAAAGGCGAAATATATCTCATTAACTTCCAGAATGAGTGTGAAAAATGGAAAAGGCTTATTGATATTTCCTAGACCTACATTTTGCCGATTGTTTATATGTTTGATCTAATTTTAATTTATTTGAAAAAAAAGAGACAAAATTTAAACATTCAATGTATTATCTTAATTACTTAGCTATACTGACACCTATATATTACCAGACTTCTATCCTTTAAATTGGTTTGTTTAATACTGGTACTTCTCCTCTTGTCTGTCTATCTTTCCGTCTGTCTGTCTGTCTGTCTTTCTTTCTGTCCATTTACCTATCTTTATTTCCTCTATTTCTTTGTTTTCTTGTTTCTCTTTTCTGATTTTCCTTCCTTTCTAATATAACATTACAATAAAATAAAATACCACTTACAAAAAGAGCAATATTAATTAGTATGAAAGTATGTGTGAAAGTGGAATTCATTATGTATAATGAAATGTATATGTTACTGTAATGTGAAAAATACTTTGAAAATAATAATAAAAAAATAATATATATATATATATATACTACAGAACGTATATATGAACACAAACTGTTACTGACTGTTCATATGTATCTCCTGCACGTCGATAACACTGTGGACAAACAAGTTCTGAATTGAGAGGACGCGCTTGTGTTCTAGTGAATGTGCTACAAATAGTGAAATACTAATACTGCCAATACTTTTCCTGCTTACATAAATAAACAAGATAAACAAGAGTCGACTAAATGTGCACCCCAGGAAAGTCAGTGCTTCATTCTACTAGAAAATTTAATGCTGAATGTAAATAGTGTAACTAAACATAAGCGGTCAACCGGAAGGTAATTAATTATACAGTGTATGCAAAAAATATTCAGGCATCGCAACAAGCTCCAACGAGCAATGATGGAAGATACTCATACTGATACTGTGAATAATGTGTCAGTGCTCCCAACACAGACACTGAAAGATACACAATTTTTGACGATTTGGAATATTAATGAATAATGTTCAAACATGTGGATCGTTATTTGCTGTGATTATCAACGTGTAATAAAATAATCGTGACGTTAAATGTAAATTTACCATTTTCTTTTGGACTGGTTCAGTAGTTTGTTTACGTGGTCGCCATGTTTTCTTGGGTGAAGATACTCTCTAATTTTTCTCGTTTTTATTTGTTATCTATACCGTATGTTTTATCAATATGCTATATGCTTACTATATTGTAAACAGAAAAACTATACATCTACAAATATTAACGTTTCATTCGGTAATTTATTAAATGATGTATTTTTCATTTGAACAATTTGAGAGTATATTTAGCGTCACTCGAGCGTTTGAAACTCGAGGCCGGGCACTTGTCAACGACAAATCCAAATCGACGTCGATTCATTGGCAAGCATGGCGGCTTCCCAGTTGGTAAGAAAACAAAGTAGCCTAAATGTCGATTTATCGTGTGAATTTGTTTATTTCGACAGTCAGTAACTGACGAAAAATCTAAATTTAAATAAGGAGAAAGAAATGTACTCTGGTAGTGTTGAACATGATTTTCGCTGGTGGATAGATATTGCTGCTGCAGCTGACAATTTGATGATTTGTTTACTTTCGAATTCGATTTTACTTTTCTCATAATGTGTTGTCTGATGCCAACGGCACTGTGGCCATTCATCAGTATATCTTTGCAAATATGTCGAAGTATTAAGTGTGAATCCAGGGATGTTTCATAGATAAAATGTGTGTCTACATGCAAACGGTAACGGGTTGTTTCGCCCCAAATCCCGTTCGCCCTAAGGGTTGTTTCGCCCCAACACCCATTCGCCCCAGGTTGTTTCGCCCTAAAAATATGTTTTCTGTAAGTCATAAATATCATGTTAAAAGTTAAAAACTTAACTTTCTCTTGAATCCAGATCTAATATATGTATAATTACGTGCCGGAAGATGAAGAACAAACTTGTATATTCATCACCGAAGTTGACAACGGACATACTAATATCCGGAATATACTGCACATTACAACCAGTAATGTTGTCCTTTATAAAATCCACCTGTATATGTTTTAACATTAAGAATGTAAAATAGTACATAGCTTGTAGATACGTATACGATATGGACATATAAAGAAACTAAATTAACTTCCCTAAGTACAATACTTATAATAAGATAAGATATGGTTAGGTATTGACATATATATCAAAATACATTAACATACTTGTATAATAATGTACTTACCAGTCTGGCAGGTTCTATGCTGCCAACGGTCGCACACATCACATGCGATACCATGCTGTCTTCGTCTAACCACGGAGTCGCTCGAAATACAAAAATCATCCATAATGTAATGTTGAATTATAATACATTAGTGAGAAATGCTCTATTTATGACAAGTAACCTACTCAAAATTATCTACTCAAATATGCATATTAATTTTTATTGGTCGGTACTATCAAAACTTCTCAAAATGATCTCCTCCAATTAGCAAAAAACAACACGGACGTACGACAAAATCAAGTAAAGAAAACATCATCACACGGCGACGATCATGTGTACACTAGACTAAATGTGTTAACGTGGAAAAATAATATTGTTGTATATACCACACAATGTAATTAAAATTACACCATTTTTGTTTCATTTCACTATTCTTATTTATTAATAAAATTAAATTCAATATATGTTATAATGTATGTCGGCGTGAAGAAAATAACGTATTCCGTTTTTTGCTTTACAATGTACTTAAAAACAACACAAACACATTTCTTTTTTTAAATAAAACTGATTTTAATGATATTGAAGACTAAGAAGACTTAATTGTGTCTTACAACAAATAAAAATGAAAAGAAAATACCATAAAAAGTTTCGCCCTAAAAATATTTTTTTAGTGCGAAACAACCTAGGGCGAACGGGATTTGGGGTGAAACAACTCGGAACCCTCAAACTGCTGTTCACAGGAGCTTGACACAAAATGTACATTTGTATGATGTGTATATGTCCAAAGTATTCGAATTGATTTAATCATGAGAATAGACTAGTTGTATCTAAATGCTACTATGTTAATGTATATTTATATTGTTTTGTTTATTTGCAGTACTCGATCATTTTCAAACAAGAGCAAGGTAAATACAAGCTTATACTATTCTACCAAATTATACACCATCGTGTAGCAATAGACTCCAATGCCATCCTCATACCAACAGACCCAATAACACGACATACACACCCTTACGTGTACAGCCACAATTCTTCTACCAAAGACATATATACAAATACTCATTTTTCCCACACACCATCACACAATGGAATCTCATACAGGTAGCAGCAATACAATGCAAAATAGTGAAGAACTTGATTCAAGGCTCATATCCCCCCCCCCCACACACACACACACCAGGTGCTAGAAGTCCTCATAACCTGTACAATAAATATAACACATTTTTATCCTCTTTTGTTTAAATCACTAAAAAAATACAAAACAAAAATGTTAACACTACACATATCTTCACGCTATGTCCCCCCCCCCTCCGAGAATAACCCACTGGCATAGTTGTCATAATAAATGGAGTCATTCACACAGAAAAGTCGAAAAGTTGTATCCTGGAATTCTGTGTCTATGCTCCAAATATGGGCAAGAGCCTCCCAGTGTAAAGCATCAAAACTGTGAACTCCCATGTGTCTTTGTTAAGACGGAGACTCTTCTCACATTTATCTGTCATGCTTAAAATAATTAATATTAATATTAATACCTGTTTTGATGCCCTGAACTGGACATTTTCCTTTCTTTGTTAGCTTGGTAGACAAAGGGACAAGTCGGTCTTGAAATGTTGTGACATGTTTAATACGTGCATTTGTATATATACACTGCTTGTGTAGAAAGTAAAACTTTGATCTGCAATACTCCAGGGGTTATACGCTCACCTTCCATCTCTTCACCCCTGGAATATATGTTGTAGCAAAATTGAAGGCACACGGCTAGCTATTTGATTTGTCTTGGGTAAAGAAAAACCCAACCAATAAGCTAGGCTGACAGTGAGTGCTGTACTGTCCCTTAAAGATTACAGAGGAGCAACACCCGACTTCAAAGCCAGTTAATTTTACCATTATGCTAAGGCGAGATTCTTTTGATGTACATAACAAGCCTTCCTGTCTCATCCGGAAGCTGGCGCACGATGAGCCTTCAATTTTGCTATATACTCCAGGGGTGAAGAGAGCATAAGTGGGCATGGTACATTAATCTGTGATGAAGGGCTCAGACGGTAAACTTGGATTTACTGTGACTGTTGATAATTATATTATGTGATTTCATAAATACTTTTACAGCCCATGAAGACAGCATATGGAGTTGCGCATGGCGACAGAATGAGAGAGACAGATCAGAAAATATTGTCACTGGAGGAATTGATGACATGGTCAAGATATGGAGATGGTTTGTAGCACAATAAGGGAGAAACATTCCTCAGCACGTTAACAGAATCATCATAATTAGATAATTGATTACTAGATGTACATATTATTTACATAAATGTGATTGTTTATTAACACTGTTTGCCATGCATATTTTTTGAAGAATTTTGTTATTTTAAAAAAGAAAATCTCTAAATTTTGATTTATTTGTACCATATTCAACATAATGTACATGTATATATATATAGCATCCTGGGTGTCAATATCAGAAAAAATGAACGCTGTATAACAGGAAGGTTTACTGCAGTTAATTATCATTTTTTATATCCTCAGTAAATGTTTATACACATATCAGTATACCGTATTTATACAGTACTACATGTGAAGGGTAAAATGTAGCAAAAGTAATGTAGATTTTACCATTATGAAAATCAAGTGTTTGACTTGGCAAACTGTTCCCCATTATACAATGTACAAGTTTATGAAAGGTTCTTAAAAACAAATAACCATCTTAGAGTTGTAGATGATTTATCCAAGAAGGAAAGTTAATTATATTGCTTAGACCAGCAAAAAGGTAGGGAGGCCTTTCTAGGGATAGGACATTTATTAAGCCATGCATGGCATGCAGTACAGTAGAAAAAATCAAGTTAAACTTTCTCTTAGTTTAAAAAAATGTAGGAGCTAATTAGCTAGTTTGTATACTGACATAGTTTTTAGGATCCTTACATCACTGCAATTAAATGTAACTAAGTATTCGGGAAAAAAATCCTGAAAATTTTAATTTTGGTTGCCATTGAATTTACCATGTTTGCTTTTTTCAACTCTTTGTCAAAACATAGTAATATGCTTATAAAGCTTACAAACATATTTAATCGTCCCACTTCACTGCCTAGTTCGTCATTGGGATGAGGTCTATCATGAAGCAGATCATTTTTCAATGTGAATGATAAGACTTTGATAAACCATTTCTGAAGAGATGTAACCTTGTGTGGGACATATATGAGAAATAATAAAGATGAAATGAAGAAAATTTAATCAACAACAATGTTCTGAATATAAAAGAAAATTCAGCCGGGGCTTCAAACCGTGGACTTTAGATTTTCATACCATCGCTCTAACCGATTAAGCTACAATGTACCTGGTCAATAGAAATGTTCGAGCCAGATTGTGCTACATTTATATCCAAATTGAACTTAAGGGGAGATTACTGTGTATAGGAAAAACCACAGTGCAGTGGGGCAGGGATCCTTAAGACTTGATTGACTATTGACATGGATTTGGTGCGTCAGGAACTTTGTATTATGAAACTTGTATGTTTACAGGTCGGACGATAAACTGGATCTGAGACATGAGTTAGAAGGTCACCAGCTTGGAGTTGTCTCCGTAGATTTGAATCAGGCTGGGACTTGTATCCTTTTTCAACATTATTATACTTATTCATCACCTATTATAAAAACAATATTCAATATGATGTTAAAAGGTCATCTTTTGAACAGTATGTGTTACTTGTTTTAAACCCTATACATCTATCAAGGCTGTTTGTTAAACCGAAGAGGTGTTGATCTGGATGTATATGTGTTACTCACCCCATTTATGAATATGTATTCCTTGTAGAACCTCTTTAACAGAATCTTTCCTTGGGGACGCAGTGGTCAAGTGGTTTAACTCAATAGTGGGGCGTCTGGTTCGCCCGTTGTCAGTATAATGTGACCGGATGAGGTATCCTGCTTGGTGTCTTTGGCAGTATGTTTCAGTGAGATAGCACTATGAAGTCGGCATCAGTTCCGCGCTATCACAAGGAGACAAACACGAAAATATCACAGCCTCCCAAAACACACACACTACAGGCATGCATCTTGCACACAGAGGAGGCTGTTCTAATTAAATGACCATAGCTGTTGATAAGATATTAAAAAATATAAAAAAAAAAAACCAAACCCTCCACCACTGGGTCGCCAGTTCGGGACCTATGTAGGGCAGTGACTAGGTACTGGCCGCAGGTTGATGGTTTTTCCACCACCTACATATATATATAGCTGTTAATAGGATGTAAAACACAAACAAACAAAACCTGAATCTTTACAATGAAACATTATCTCTTCAAACTCAATGCATAGGTAGAGAAATTGAGTATCCTTGTATATAAATTGTATAACTCTCTGAAGCTGCAATTTGACCATCAGTAAATTATTCATTTAGACTCTATACCCTATGTCTTTCATGTAACTTGGGGAACAATATCAGAATTGACAAATATATTAAAACATCTACCATCAATCCAACTAGTTATCAAATATTTCTTTTAAAAGTTGTGTAAATGTAGAGAAATAAAGTATCTTTATATACAAATTGTCACCTTGTGAAGCCATTCTAAGGTAAATATGTCATCCTGGTAAAATACTAGGTGCTTCCTACCTACTGCTAGGGATATTTCTGTTAAGCTCCTTCAGTAGAGGGTAGGACTAGTAAAACAAAGGTCCCAGATTTAGATCTTAGCGGAGGCTTTGACAAAATAATGACCTCTGTGACATATACATTAAGATACTACTTGACACAGCTGCAGGGCCTATAACTCCAGGAACAATATCATAATTGACATACATTATAGATTGTAGTTCAGCTGAATAGAGTTTCATATCATATACTTGACCTTGACCTCGGTCAGTGGCTGCGTCCAGCAGTCTTGACAGCCATGTCCGAGTCTGGGATGTGGAGACGGGCAAGTGTATCAAGAGTATGGATGCTGGGCCAGGTACAGTATATATATCATCAACCGATTACTGACGGTCTTTTCTTAAAAGTTATGAGAGTTTTACTCCCATTCATAATAATCAATTTCCATTGAAACTCAAGATATGAGTTTTTAATATCCTTTTCAAAGAGGTAAAACTCTAAAGGTTTATAGAATTTTAAGTTGCATGAGTAATATAAGTATCTTTTGTAAATTGTATTCATGCCTAAAATAAAATGTTGATTGTTTGCCTAAACCCAACAGACCCTGAAGGGAAATTAATGCTCAAAATACTTTTTTCTATACTATTTATCAGTTGTCTTGTTCAACATTTCTGACATACATGCATATTATCAATATCAAAGGTTGTTTCTAAGTTGTTATAATTTGTGTCCAATTCCTTTTGAATTTTCCAAATGAAATATGTTTAAATGATCAATATCGGAGCATGCAACTAACCAACAAATAATTGTATGATGTATTTTAAATCCAATAAAAATGTGACATTTATCAAATAAAATGAAATATTTTTTTCTGCATACATACCAAAACTTCAAGTCATGTGTCAGGTTTAGGCAAGCACACATTTTAATGATACATACTGTACTGGAGTTACAGATTGTATCTGACTTCCGTGCATAAAAAAAAATTGGAAGACAAGAAAATGAGACAACCTAAATAGAATTACTGGATTTTGATATATTTTACACAGTTGATGCGTGGACGCTGGCTTTCTCCCCCAACTCCCAGTTCCTAGCATCAGGCAGTCACAGCGGGAAAATTAACATGTTTGGTGTGGACACCGGGAGGAAGGAACAGTCGCTGGACACGAGGGGGAAGTTCACTCTTAGTCTCGCATTTGTAAGTTAATCAAAAGTCACTGTGTCAAAGCTGAACTCTAGATAATACCTGACACAGCTGCAGGGCCTATAACTCTAGGAACAATATCAGAATTGACATACAGAAAAAAAACATGCAAAGTATTATTCGGCTTATAATATATATAATTTGACAATTATATAATTGCAGCTCTGTAATTAAAAAATAAATGTCTTAATTGGATTTTTCTGACGGTGACAGTGTTGTATGTCTAAATTGGATTTTTCTGATAGTGACAGTGTTGTATGTATAAATTGGATTTTCTGATAGTGACATTGTTGTATGTATAAATTGAATTTTGCTAACAGTGTTGTATGTCTATATTGAATATTGCTGACAGTGTTTTCTGTCTAAATTGGATTTTGGTGACAATGTTGTATGTCTGAACTAAATTCGCTGACAGTTTTGTCTGTATAAATTTGATTTTGCTGACGTTGTTAATGTTGTGTATCTCAACTGAAATATGTTGACAGAGTTGCCTGTCTTAACTTGATTCTATTGACTGTATTGTCTGAATAAACTGGACTCATTTGGTAATATTTCTTTTAACTAAACTGGACTGTTGACAGTGGAGTCTCAATTGCACTTTGTTGGCAGTGTTCATTTTGAACTTAATTGAACTGAACTTTGTTGGCAGTGTTCATTTTGAACTTAATTGAACTGAACTTTGTTGGCAGTGTTCATTTTGAACTTAATTGAACTGAACTTTGTTGGCAGTGTTCATTTTGAACTTAATTGAACTGAACTTTGTTGGCAGTGTTCATTTTGAACTTAATTGAACTGAACTTTGTTGGCAGTGTTCATTTTGAACTTAATTGAACTGAACTTTGTTGGCAGTGTTCATTTTGAACTTAATTGAATTGAACTTTGTTGGCAGTGTTCATTTTGAACTTAATTGAACTGAACTTTGTTGGCAGTGTTCATTTTGAACTTAATTGAACTGAACTTTGTTGGCAGTGTTCATTTTGAACTTAATTGAATTGAACTTTGTTGAACAATTTGAATTTTATTAATAGTGTTGTCTTTTGTTTAAATTGCTGCCCGATATCTATTTTACCATACTTTACACTAACTCTTACAATAAATGTGCATATTTTTTTCTGTTTCTCATCACAGAGTCCTGATGGCCGACACATTGCATGTGGAGCTATAGACGGGATTATAAACGTGTTTGACATCGAGTCAGGCAAACTCATACACACACTCGAAGGTAAAACAAAGTACTCTTTGTATCAACTGTACTGTGTTCTGGTGAAACACTGAGTGTATTATGTTGTGGTGTGATACTCGGGTACTGTTTGTATGAGGATATAACAGTGAAGGTTTTGACATTAACCATTATGTCACCTGTCCACCGATAAATGTTCCCTGAAGAGCAATTTAAAACTGTTATCTCCCGCTCAACAAAGTCAACAGGAGATATAGAAATTGGGTGCGTCCGTCCTTCCATCCAGTTAAGAAGAATTGGTCTCATCTGTGAATACCTTACTACAACTGCTACACCTTCAATACTATCATGATTTATGCCTCTGGGGTGGCTCTACTGAATGCATGGTGCGATTGCTGAATTTGAGAAATTTGACATTTCACACTTCACTGACTTGGTGACCTCCAATTAATTGTTTTATATTGACTTGTACACTATGAACGGGGGATATCGATGACACCGTCTTCATGTTTCTCTCTGTCATGAGGGTAAATTCTTCATGATTTCAAATATTAGTACACAGTAGTATACACAGCAAGTACAGTGTAAATGGCAAAATGAAGACTGGGTAGATATGGATTTTATCTGTAAAGGGTTAAAAATTGACTTGGTAAGAATTTTCTAGTAAATATGTTTTAATATGTACATGTATATTATGATGTCTTACCTGATTTCATGATTTTCATCATTTTCATTGATATATATTTTTAGTAGTCTACTGTTTAAACTTGAGTTGGCTAACTGTCTCTTATGTTGCCAGTACAGTACTGATATTTGTGGTTCAACTACAACCACAAAATCATACAAAATAAACACTAACGGATAGAATTATGTCCTACAGTAAAGAAAGTTCAGCCCAATGTATCAGAAGTTACCATTGTATACCAGTAATGTTTTTTCCATTTCTTCCTCTGGTTATTCCCTTAATCTCTCTTGACTTCTTTCTGATTTATTCTGCTGGCTATGTCAATATGTTAAAGTCAATGGGCTGTAAACTAACTCATTCACCCCTAAAACTCTGTAATGAACTATTCCAACTTTTGAATTGGAGGAGTTCAAATGTGTCTTCAGGAGTGAATGAGTTGATCAATGATTTTCATTGAAATATCAACTATGTATCTTAAAAAAATATGGCAACCATTGCAAGTATTTAGGTTAAATACTTGGTTTTGTACAGTTTGCAACTTTTTTTTTCATTCCTTAATGAAAATTTTGAAATTCATTATGTCAGTTTTATCTGATAAAATGCTTTCAAAGATAATCAATGCTATTTTCGACGATCAAAAAGATCACCTGCCAATTTAAAATGGAATTGTATGATTGGTGTGATTTTATATTTTTTCTCTAAATATGGTTTTGTGCTAATAGATCTTGTCACCTTATATTTTCCAGGTCACGCTATGCCAATCAGATCGCTGTGTTTCTCCCCCGACTCGCAACTCCTGGTGACGGGATCTGACGACAACCAGATCAAAATATATGATGTGTAAGTGATGGCTTTGTATTCTACCCCGTTTGAGAAATGTCCCACCTTTTGAGGCAGAGATACACAATCTGTTTCTCCATGGAGAAAGACTTCTTATGTCTCAATGAATAATCAGATGGCATCAGGTTATAACTTGGTGCTTAGCTTACAATAGTTTTTTTGACTGAAACATTTCCTTTCAAAGTAAGAGAGGAACATAAGTTCTCTGGGTAGCATTCTTAAAACTTTACCAATCCCAATGTTGAGATAGTCCTGTCTCACCCTTCAAGTGGGGAAAGACTTTATACTTGTGTTGGAAATTGGAAGCGGAAATCATAATCGATTATTAGAAAACATTTAATGAACGATTATTCATTATAATTGAACATCCAATTTCTGGTAATATGTGTAATTATATTGGTATACCACTTAGAATTGGGATTTGCAGCATAATTCTGCCATGTCCAATCAAAGGCTGACTTGGTATATCCATTTGACAGTCTGTTGTGCTTTTAGACTTTTATTTTTAACCTAGTACTAGAATTTGAGTAAGAGTAAATCTGACAGGTATCAACAGAAAACAGCATGTAACTGTGGCAGGGTTCAATTGTACATAGGATTAAGGTCGCCTTCTAGCTTCGAGCTAGAGCGAATTTTTCTTTAGCTCAGTGGTAGAGCGTCCGACTAGGAACCTGGAGATCGAGGGTTTGATCCCCGGTGGAAGCACACTATTCTCTTTCCTGTTACAAATGGTGTCCGTGGCCCTCCCTGTGGTGACAGGGAATTAGAACCTGGGTTGTGGTGTTTGAGGGCGAACACATTTAAAAAGGGGGGAGTAGTGTGGCAGGGTTCAATTGTACATAGGATTAAGGTCGCCTTCTAGCTTTGAGCTAGAGGGAATTTCCCTTTAGCTCAGTGGTAGAGCGTCCGACTAGGAACCTGGAGATCGAGGGTTCGATCCCCGGTGGAAGCACACTATTCTCTTTCCTGTTACATAACATTTAAACGGATTAATCAACTATGAAATTTATCAATCGGTTAATTTGAATTGGTTGTACAATAGTTGATTTGCAATATAATTGATTATCAGAACAACACTACTAGTAACACAGTCCAGTGGGGAGGGAGGGGGGTAATAAATCTCCACCTTCTACTGTGGCATTTCATCAACTAGGTGGTAACCCTGACTTTACTATGAAGCATGACATGTATCCTACATTACATTGAACATACCGGTACATAACATTTTATTCTGGCCACTGCAATGAGAATCAGTATTTCCATTCAGTATTTTAAATTTTAATGCCTTTTAGAGAAGAAATCAATTTCAAAACTGTTATGGATGATTGAAAAAGTTCCATCATGTAGAAAAATCAGTGTTTCCAGAAACAACCAAATGAGGATTTCACAATCTCATAACAGTTGGTTGTACCCCGCTTTCAAATATGGCCCTATTTAACAAAGTACCTACGGGGTACAGAATCTTAAAAATGCATCAAGTGTACCTCAAAATTGATAAATTAAAATTCCTAATAGTATGTATTTGATATTTTACAGCCAGCATGCAAACTTAGCAGGAACACTCTCAGGCCATGGATCCTGGGTGTTGAGTGTTGACTTCTGTCCAGACAACACCCACTTTGTCTCAAGGTATTTATGTCAAAACACTGGAAAATGGTCATTTTTACACAGTCACATATCGGTATCATAACCTTTACAATCTTTTTCACATTTGTCTGCCAAATTACATGTCTACCCTAATAAGAACATTTGATTTTGTTTCTACAAAAAATGCAAATTATTTTTAAACATTGAAGTTTTTTCAACAAATAAGCTTCCATATTTTTCATAGACTATCCACAAAGTTTAGGTCATTATTTGCATACTGTGATTTTATGTCTTTTTTCTTACTTAAATTGTTTTGAGGAACATGAATTCTCGTAAATATGGTACATTGTATTCCTTTTCATAACTTATCAATTCTTGTAAAAATTCCAGTGATACAAGCAATGAGAGAGGCGGTCCGTTTGGGCTGTTCCAATCACTTTCTCGTTATTTTGGTTGATGTATTTACATATATTTGATTAAGATTTTAATACGTAATATCTTGTATGTGTAACCTTGATGTCTATATTCTATTACCGGAAATAAATGTTATTATTTGTTTTTGTGGGAAGTGGATATAAATATGAATAATGTTATAAACTTTTCTTCCTCAGTTCATCAGATAAGACGGTAAAGATCTGGAACGCTGGATCCCGGCAGTGCGTACACACATTCTACGACCATACAGACCAGGTAACTACCACGTACTGTGTACCTATCAAAGGGCTAGGGGTGTAAAGGGTCGTTTCCAGCCTCATCAGGGACTATGAATAAGTTGTTACATTCGTAATCTAAAATAAATGAAGTATGCAAATATGAAATTTCAAGTTCATTTGATAACTGGTTTAGGAGATATGGCATTACAAAGAGAGATATGAACCGGCGTTTTCATTATAAAATAAGTGAATATCTTCTGTTGTGCGCTATTTGGTTAAAAATGGCAATTTTTAACCCTTTCACCCCTATACCCCAGGGGCCAGAAGGGTTAAGTGAGCACCCCCCTGCTGTCAAAGCGTGGCCTCGTTTTTTCATAAGTATGGACCTTCTATAACATATTTCAGCTGGCCATCCCTCTGGGAAATCCACTGGGGATTTTTTGTGGGGTCATAAATAACCTTACCTTCGCAAAAAAATGTGATTTTGAATAAAGGGGAGTAGGGGTCCAGAAAGTGCTATATCATTTCTCATCATCATCATATGAATACTAAGATGGTATATATAGATCATGTATGCATCACTTAAAATTTTGGAATATAAAGTTTACAGTTTGACCTCCACTATAAAGGTCAAATCAAGGTCAAAGGTCAAATAACAGCAAAAAGTATTGTTTTTCCCCCAAACCACTCTTTATTGTTACCTGGGGTACTATGTAACTTTAGTAAACTCTACCATGCATTGATCTGGATGAGTCCATTATGGTCCACAGGGTTAAGGAAGTTAAGTAAGCACTCTTCGATTTTTGAAAGCCTCGGCATGCAACAAACAAATAAATACTTGACATGCTAAAACATAGTCATACCAGTGTTCATTCGTAGAAAGAAACTTTTGTTTGTCAGATGTGGAGGCTTTCATTGCTGCAGGCTAACTGTCCAAAAACACCATGTTTTGGCTATTTCTGCATAGCAACGCAATTTCGTTGCTGTGGTAGGGCATCTACATCTGTGCAATGAAAACAAACTGCACTAAGAAAGATAGCCCAAATTAACCAATATGATGTTTATAAGAGAAGTTGGTATATAAATTCAAGTTGAACTTTTTACTTTTTATGAGGCCTAAATTGACCCATAACGCCCGAAGTCCTTCGATCATATACAATTGATGATTCTTTATAACTCACACATCTTTGTTATAAGTTATCGCTATAAAAAAAATCCTTCAAAATTAACTTTTTACTTTTTATGAGGCCTAAAATGACCCATAACCCCCGAAGTCCTTCGATCATATAAAATTGATGATTCTTTATAACTCATACATCTTTATTATAAGTTATCGCTATAAAAAAAAATCCGTCAAAATGGTGTTGGGACAGAAATCTGGACGCAATGATATGGTGTGTATATATCATTATACTATAATTATATAGGAAGTACACATCTGGGGGCTTCCTACTAAGAGGACATTGGAGAAACCTCTATTGCCTCATTGCAATATTTGGGATCGCTATATTTTCTCTCCACTACCTGAAAAAAACTTTTAGTTTTAAAGTGCATTTTTTGGCTAAAGTGTTGAGCGTTCACCCGTGTAGGGTAGGCAATGGGTTCTGTCCCAAGGCTGGGAGATAACAAAGTCAATAAAAATGGTAGTTGTTATGTATTCCCTGCTTAATGTTAAACATTTAGGGAAATGGCAACAACTGGTTCACCCTTTGTCAGTATCATGTGACAAGTGGAATACTCTGTTAGCTGAGGTAGCAATCTAAAGTTGGCATCAGAACTGGAGGCACATTCTAAAATGACCTTAGCCTAGGACATTAAACAAAAGAAAACAAAAGAAAACCAAACATACAGCATCTGTGTCATATCCCATGCAAAGCTACAGTATTTATTTCTAAAATATAAAGTTTAGTCATACACAAGAACAGTTCTTACTAGTTGCATTTTATCAGATAACAACATTGTAAAATGTCTATGCTATCATAAGTAGACAAATGCATCAACATACCCTGCCTCCAGCACAAAAACGCTCAAGCACACATACATTATATACTTGGAGGCACGTTCTTAAATGAACTTAGCCTAGGACATTAAACATACACATCTTCTTAGTGTGGCCAGCATCCATGTCATACTGCTTGCAAAGCTACAGTATTTATTTCTAAAATATAAAGTTAGTCATACACAAAAACAGTTCTTACCAGTTGCATTTTATCAGATAACAAAACATTGTAAGATGTCTATGCTGCTTGCTGTTAGAAAATAATTCAATTAGTTAGACTGCTCACAAGTTCTGCCATGTTTGTGTTTTACAGGTGTTTTATGCATTTACACGATCTGTTACTTCTGTTTCAACTTATCAGTAATTGATGTTGTGCAATATTGCACTGTTAAACCAAAAGGTAACTATCCAATGTTAAAGGGCTTTAAACACAACTAATCAGGTTGGCTGATTGGTCTAATCAGGAATTCTCCTTTGTATTAGTTCCCATTGAGTACTGTATTTAGCAGTAGATAAATATAGTATGTTACTAGGCCCATCGCATTGTCTAAAAATGCAAGTAATTTTGCCACGTTCCGTGCAGAGCTTCAGTATTCATTTCTTAGATATTAAATCAATCAGTTCATAAAAGTTGTATTTTATCAGATAACAAAAAAAAAATACACTGCTCACTCTAAAAACATTTCAGTTAGTTATTAGACTGCTCACAAGTTCTGCCATGTTTGTGTTTTGCAGGTGTGGGGAGCCAGGTACAACCACGACGGATCAAAGATCGTGTCGGTGTCTGATGACAAGGCAATACATGTGTATGACTCTCCTCTAATGTCAGGCTGATTGGAAAAAATTCACTTCATATCACTGTCTGTTACATATATTTTGTTAAACATTTTAATGTAAATATATTTTTTTCAATTTTGGATGTATGTTAGATTTATCTCCCTTTAAGATGTTTAATTAACTATGAGCAATTTAAAAGCTCAAATTTTCCTCAAGATTCTTAATGTATGGGTATGTTTTGGAATATGCCATCCATTCATTAATTGCAAATTGATATTCCTGAAGGATCTTTTTAAAAATAGAGACATGTCACAGCAAGCAAGTGTTTATTCTAATATAAAGGTCCAGGGGCCTGTTTGTTTATGCGGAACAACCAATTTGACTGTTTTTAAATTTAACACTTCTAGGTATAAATTTTGGTTCAAGGCTTTGTCAAGGCCCGCCTGAAAGCAGCATAAGATTATTAGGTCCTACCGTATTTTATAAACGAACATCTCTGGCCCAACGGACCAACCTTTTGGTAGTTCAATTCTCAATTAGCTAAATGAATTTGTTAAGGATACTTGTTCCAGTGCAGGAACAACATGAGTCAGTAACCTGCCATTGGCATTGTCCTGGATGTAACTGTAGTGGGACTTAGCCATGAACCTACTGCTGATCAGGTAGCCAAGTCTGTTAGAGTTGCTGAATTGTAATCGAAGGTCCATGGTATGAATACCAGACGGGCACCAATGTATCTTCACATCCAGAACACAATTGATTTTTGAAATTTCAAGTTTTTTTTTTATTAAGAACAGGCAGCAGGCCAAAATGACTGGTTCATGTCAGGTTTTAGACCAGAGTTGATGAACTAAAACCTTGATGTTTTATAATTGATCATGATAAAGTTAAACATGTAAGATACATTTGAATTTTCTGATTTATATGTCTTGTAATTCTATCATCTCTAGATGAAGTTATTATATGGGGAAAAAACAAGAAAAGGAAAGGATTTGTGGCAATGACAAAGTTTATAAACACTGTTAATTAAAATAATAATGTAGAAAAATGTTAAATTTATCAAAGACTGAGTTTGCAAAAGCTAATTGATGATTTCCATTCTTTTGTGAAATTTCTGCAAATCAAGTTTTTTTCTAGTATTTATATATTTTCACTTTATCTCTCAATTAGATAAACCCTTGTTGAATTAAAACTATCTTACAAATTTTACTGAATTAAACTAGGGATGATACATGCTACATTCAAGTATTTAAGCTAAACCATTATTATGATCATTAGTATTAAATTGTCTGCGTTTCTAAACAGGAGATTATTTTGAATATTATGTGGATCTTATCTGTAAAAAATCATACAGAGCTACTTGTGTATGTAGCCCTTCTATCCTCAGATTGACCAAAAAGCAACATCATTTTAATACATGTATGTGTATGTTATAAATGTTATGTGTATGTGATAACCTTTCTGAAGGAAGTTCAGACAAAAGATGGGGAGAAAAGTTGATGTGTATTTCTCCTTCTGTTATTGAATTTACATTTGGTCCCAAAGTCCATTTTTGTTCATAATATTAAAACAGGGCAAACAAATTACAAATAAGATTTTCAATGAGTAAATACTGAAACAGATGCTTAAGAACTTGTGTTATTTGATTAAAAAAAAAATATTAATAAATTTGAGTATAAACATGTATCAATATATACTATCTTTGATCTGGCTTGTGTGAATGGTTATAAAACTAAGGTTGAAACCTGTTGTTCGAATCTGATCAACTCATTGAGTTATTTACGCAAATTTTCAAAATGTATTTTTTTTTTAATATCTTAAAATTCACCAATATTATAATGGGGATAATTTATTCTGATCCCTATACAGTCAGGATTATTGCTGAATTGCAACAGGGTTTTTTCAAAACAAATTATGAACTTTTTTTGTTCTAGTTAATCTTTCAAAGTTGCCTTATTAGTTTGGACCTTTGACCTGAATTCTTCGTCTGAATAATTTGGACTTTGAAGCTGAAATAATCATTTTTCTGACGTGTTATTTTAACACATTGTGAGTACTTGTACATAGAGAGAGATTATTATTGAGAGTATAAAAGAAGTGAGTTTGTTGTACAGAATGAATGTGGCTTGTACTGATTAGGAACATGAATAAATTCATCAACTATGAATGTTGGAATTTTGTTTGCGTTTTAATATGTTTTCTTATGAAACCAGTGATCTCACAGAACTCTTAAAAACGTGATGATGATTCTGTATACACAGGTAATATTATGATCCCAAGTAGGATTATTACAAGCAGTTCTTGTGAAATAGCTTAAGGTAATAGGATTGTGTCACCATTTCTCAGTAGAATTTCTTCAATTTTTTTAGTTATATTGCTTTGAAGTAAATAACATTTTCTGCCACAAAACAAATATAGGTTGTCAGAATTTTAAGTATTTTAAATGGAAATTTATGTAAAAATAGTAATTGCATGTAAGAGTTAGCTGTCTTGAAAAACTTCACAGTAGTCAAATAGGTAGATGTTTCCTGAAGTACAGAAAAATGGACACATGTGACTCATTGATAAAAAACAACTGAATTTAATGCCTGGATTGCTTTGAAATACTTAAACATTGAGAGAACACAATGTTCTGTCAATAATAAACATACAATATTCATCAGTTTAATATTAAACATTAGAATAGGCGGAAATTCTGATACTGTCTCCCTACATTGGACTTTCAACTAGGGATGTACTTCCTATTTCCGTTTATCGATACACTCCTATGAACTTAAACTAACTTTAAATGCAGAATCTAAGATTGCTGCCTGCAAGCAGCTATTCTCTTTTTCTGATCCATCGCATATTCATTCGCAAAAAGAAATGAATACATAGAACATAAACTAAAAAGGTTAAAATGTTTAAAAGATGTATCTGAAATTAGAGCATGCACAGCTATGTACAGAGGGAATCGTGCATACCAAGTTTCATTTAGGTGCATGAAGTTGTTTCTGAGGTACAGCCGTAACAACCTTTACAAGTGAAATCCAAGATGGCTGTCCAGTGGCCATGTTGCTTTTACAATTCATCTCATATTGACACATATAAAACTATGGATATCACTTTGATAGTTCATGAGAAGTTCAGAAACAATACTTAGATTGTTGTTTTTTCAGTCATTTGTATTTTCAGATATAATCCATACTTAAAGCATTAACCAACAGGTTTATCAATGGTATATGTTGGCATGATCCCTTCAATAATTTCAGGGAACATTATTCACATGATACGTCTAAGATGGCTTCTGATTGGACAGTTTTTCATCAATCTCAAATTAGAGAATACACAATAATCGGTCAATGATATAATCTATAGCATCTTTCATCACGATCCCCTGAGGAAATAAAGGTAAAAGTTAAACAGGCAAATAAAAAATGGTTGCACTGTAAGGCGGCAATTTTTTTTTGCCGATAATTTTTAAAGAGCATGCATAACTATTGACCAAGAGGATCATGCACACCAAGTTTTATCGTGATTCTTATTTACTGAGAAATAGTGTTAACATATCCTGCCTGTCAGTCTTATTTTCCTAATCCACTTTTATTTGGAGTTATATCGCAACTACGGACTAAGGAAAGGAGACCATTCATGCCAAGTTGCTTCACGATCCCTTCCGAAATTCCTAAAGAATACTGATACCAAACGGAATGATTGAATAACGAACGCCGGATCACCATCTGAACATCCGAACATTTGTAATGGTGGAGCAAGATTTAACAATTCTCCGGGAGCAAAGGAAAGTATACCTCATTTTCTCAACTTTCCTATGATAATACTTTTTGTTCTAATGTTTAATGTCCCCGCATCCTCGATACTCCATAGGCTACGCTCACTTACGTTCTATGCATACACAACCCTAGAATATGTCATAGAAAAATGGAAGGTCCAATCTGCGCCATATTGTGGATGAGATGGGAAAAATAGCTAGTTGTTTGTTCGTTACCAAGAAAATGCAGCAAAGCTGCTGGACACCAATCCTTTTTTTTATGAAAATGACTTACTGACAGTCCAACAACCACGAGGGAACGGATCCTGCATACTTGAATTTATTTAATTATAATTATATAAATTGTTAATGGCATTAATTTTGTCGTTTAGAATATTCCTTCGCCCGTTTCTGTCCGTTCCTGTAAATCGTCGCCCGTTCCTGCCCGATCCATATAATTCGTTGCAATCCTTTTTATCAAATGTATCTTACGAAAACGTCATCTTCTGAGAGAGAGAAGCCGGGACATAAGATGATTTACATAAAATATCATTTAGACCTTATGTCAAAATGCAACGATTATTGCAAATATTTCTTTTGACAATGTACCTGGGAAAATCATTTGGATAAAATCTCAACCGTCTTCTAGCTAGGTTTAAGCGTCAATCTTGGCCCCCGCCCCTTCGAATACTAGTTATTACTCNGTCAACCGTCTTCTAGCTAGGTTTAAGCGTCAATCTTGGCCCCCGCCCCTTCGAAAACTAGTTATTACTCCTCGCGACTGCTAGACACATTTTGCCACACACTGTTTTATTGGTTGTCATCACATGTCGTTTATGCAAGTGAAATAGATATATCGTATTGAACGGGAAAATCATGAAATTTCTTGCATTTTTTTCACGTCACGCGGCGCAAATATTGCTACATCAGAAAAGCGCGGAAATGTGTAGCATAGTTTTTGAGGCAGAGTTGTAATGACGTCATGCTTGACAATAATACAGAGCGCCATTTTTCAAAGGGTTTTCACTGCAATTTTGCCATTTGCTAGTATAATCTTAGTCTGGTGTCCAGGCCAGATGAAACTCGGGCTACACCTGGATTATCGAGGGTGACGCCCCCGCAACAGATGACGACGTGTGNGGGGAAGATTTTCAGACAAAAATGATATAAATTGTGAGGTTATGTAAAAACAAAAATGTATGCTGCAGAGGTAAACAACAACACAACCACTTATCCTGCCGTCACTTCATCTAAACTTGAAACTGAAAATCTACACACAGAATATCATGTATCATATCATTCAGATTGGACAATATTAAGAGTTTCGTTTTAACTCGTGAAGATATGATGTTTCGTTTATCTTCACAGCATTAAAGATATGTTTTTTTATCAAATGTTAAATTCGTGATGTTTCACTAGAAAACTGTAATAAATACATATACCGTAGGATTTACCATCATTATTTTGTAGACATTATGCGGCCTCAATTTCCCAGAAGGCTTTCACGCATGGGTAGGCACCGGAAGTGTACAAAGTGTTTGCAGATCAAACCCCGACGGCGCTTCGCGCCGCTTGGGGGTTTGAAAAAAGAATATCGTGGTCGCCTAACAGTAAAATTGTCTGGTTTTGAAGTCGGGTGTCGCTCCTCTGTAATCTTCAAAGGACAGGTATCAGCCCAACGATTGCTCAGTTGCTTTACATAACCGCGTGCATCTAATTTTGCTATGACATATTCAAAGGGTGCAGATAGATCAAGTTGGTTTATCCCCCGGAGTAGTTCGAGCTTCCTCTAGCACCGACACCAGACTAAGAAATTTTAGACATTTTGACAAATGAGACCATACATCGCTCTTTCAAAATGTCTTAGTCTGGTGTCCAGGCCAGATGAAACTCGGGCTACCCCTGGATTATCGAGGGTGACGCCCCCGCAACAGATGACGACGTGTGTCTAAGGAGACACAACTGAAAAAATGAAAGATCGGATACGTGGGAAAAGGAAAGACAGATCCCAAATACTGCAATGGGGGTAGCAGATCAGCTTGGTCTGTTCTTTGTTCCCAAGCGTTAGACACAGAAGCAAACCATCTATTCGGCAGGGGACCCCATATATCAGATTGCATCCTGCGGTAACAGGCGTAGGGCTACTGCAGCTGGTTTATTG